ATGAGCTTCAAGGAGGCTTTGCAGATTTTGAGAACAGAGCAGTCACGTGTGAAGATGTCAGATGTGAAACGCGTGGCTAAGGTTTTGTTGGTGCTGACGAATGTGCCTGGTGTGGATGCGAGTGAACAGCTGGTGCCCGAGATTACCGAGCAAAGCAGTACATGGTGCATTGCAATTTCAATATTGGTTGTTTTCAGTTTTTTCACTGGCTTGTACATTGTATATCGATGTGCATTGAACTGGTGGGATGAGCAGCGAAAAGAGATCAGGCAGGAGGTGAGAGACATGCTCAATATTTCAGCTGAACTGGAATATGATTATATTGAGCAGGTGCGTGCAAATCTTGCCTGGACGATTCAAGAATTGAGAGAGAATTTGACGAGCAGGATAGATGAGATTGCTTTGGCAGATGAACCGGAGCCTGATGGGCAGCAAGACGTGAGCATTGGAGAGATTGAGCCGGAGGTTGAGATGATGGATGCAGAGAATCAACATCTGGCTGGCGAAGAGATATTTGACACTGAGTGGGAAGCAATGGCGAGATCTGCAGTCATGGATGCATATAGATTGCGGAATCGTCGAGGTGGATTGCGTGGAGAAAGATGAGTTTCTTTTTCTTGTGCAGACTGCATTAATTTCAAGAGTCGTGTGAGATGAGTGTGGTGGAATTCGGCCATTTTGGTCAGATGCAGCTGATGGGATTGGCATGGAGGCCTGGTGGAAACAGTTTGCGAAAAGAGCGACCTGGTTTACGGCCCTTGCCAACTTTACGGCAACATGTGCCAACAGGTGAACACTTAGTGTTTCACGAGCCCTTGAGCTGGCTTGGTACAGACAGGCTAGAAAATAGCCAAGTGAGCACAGTTTGAAACAAACTGTCCTCAGGTGGGGTGTTGACTATTTTAACCATAGTGGAGACCCTTTGATACCCTCTTTTAGGTGATCGTACAGACAGTTGCGTGAACCTGTGAACTGACATGTGAAACGACATGTGGGATGCATAAATGTGCATTCAAGGGCTCAAACAGAAGCCTAGCAGAAAGAAGTGCGAGGAGACAAAAGTCTTCACTATTACCTCATGGATAATTTCTTTTCTTTATATTATTCGTTGTATCTGGAATGTCTATTCTTGCATATGTATATTGCTCGCCAAATTTCCTTGCCGGCGGTATTCAGATGGCTTACGGCCATGCGCTGCTATGGATTTCTATGGCCAACCCATTTCTGTGGATGACGGCTGCGCGATGCGCAACTGCGGCAGTTGGGATTTCCAATGGTTGCGTGATGGTATGAGGCAGAATGCCTCTTGCCTCTGTGTGTAGGATTGTGCTACGATTTGCGGATGCACGTTTCCGATTTGATTGAACCCGGCCAAGTTTCACAATGAATGAATGGCGTTGCAGTAGCGAGTGAAAGAATGTTCGACACAGTTTCGTAGTCGGAGCCGTGGCCATTGGGAATTGTTGTGATGTTTGGATCGCATGATGAACAATGCGACCCAAATGGGGGATGTTAAAACCCTCCTGGCCCCGTGCCTAAATTGGGAAGCTGTTCTGAGGTCCATGTTCTTGTTGATTAGTTATCCCATTGGACGCCACATTTGGCTCAAGGCTCAAGGGCTCAAGGTCTTGAATGAACTACGTTCGCCTGTGATCGATCTGAGAGAGTGGAAAACAGTTTCATTCGCGCTGCAGATACAGAGTGTACAATCGTGGTTATTGGTCTTTACCCCCTTACAACAGTTTGCGCTGGTTTGGCTAGAACGGTTTGACCGTATACCCTTTCTACGTGGTTGAGTATACACAGCTGGAGGGTTCGGTGGACAGCGTCCGACGGGACGTCATCTTGCCATCTCTTGACATGTATGTATGTATGTATGTATGTATGTACGTACGTATGTATGTATGTATGTATGTATGTATGTATGTATGTATGTAATGTGTGTAATGTATGTAATGTATGTAATGTATGTATGTAATGTATGTAATGTATGTAATGTATGTATGGTATGTATGTATGTATGTATGTATGTATGTATGTATGTATGTATGTATGTATGTATGTATGTATGTATGTATGTATGTATGTATGTATGTATGTATGTATGTATGTATGTATGTATGTATGTATGTATGTATGTATGTATGTATGTATGTATGTATGTATGTATGTATGTATGTATGTAATGTATGTATGTCTGTATGTATGTATGAGTGTATGTATGTGTGTGTAATGTATGTATGTATGTCTGTATGTATGTATGAGTGTATGCGTGTATGTGTGTAATGTATGTATGTATGTTTGTATGTATGTATGTCACGTAATGTAATGTAATGTAATGTAACATAGTGTCATGTGATGTAGTGTAATTCAATGTAATGTATGTATGTGTGTGTATGTGTGTGTAATGAGCGTATGTATATGTAATGTGTGTTATATAGATGCAATGTGGAAATGTATGCAATGTAGGTAAGGTATGCAATGCTTGTAATGTGCGTAAAGTGTATCACGTAATGTCGTGTCGTGTCATGTCATGTCACATCCTGTAATGTATTGTGCGGCAACCTATTGTTAAGTAGTCAAACCTGCGCTAATCTAATTTAATGAAATGTAATGTGTTGTAATGATTGTAATGTATGTAGTGTGTGTATGTATGCGTGTGTGTCTGTATGCGTGTATTACATGTATGTGTGTATGTAATAATGTATATAATGCAATGTAGTGCAATGTAGTGTAATGTAGTGTAATGTAATGTAATGTATGTAATGTGTGTAATGTAAGGTAAAGTAATGTAATGAAATGTAATGTAATGTGTTGTATTGTAATGTATGTACCTGTATGCGTGTACTGTAATGTAATGTAATGTAGCTTAATGTATTGTAGCGCAATGTAATGCAATGTATTCATGTATGTATGTCTATGCACATGCACTTTGCCGGCGGAGACTGCTGCTTCCCCCAACCCCCTTGCACGCACCCCGAGTTAAATCATCACTTTTGGTCATCATGGGGGGGCTGGCTGGGCTGGGCTTGGTTGGTTGGTTGGGCTTTTGTTTAGCGGTTGGTTGGTTGGTTGGTTGATGGATGGGTGGTTAACCCCGCATCTGCCTTCAAAACTGTTTTGCGAGTTGATAGCTTGTTTGGTTGGTTGGTTGGTTGGCTAGTTGGTTCTGGGCTGTTGGGATGGGTTGGTTGGCTGCTGGCTTGGTTTGGTTGGGGTTGGTAGACGCAAAATTTGGTCTTTTGGGTGCGCCTTTCCTGTTTTTCCTTCCAGTTTTTTTTCACAGATTGACATGCACCCCTAGTTGACTTATTTTTTTCTTAAATCCCGGTTCTTTGGGTCAACCCCTAGTTGGCTTGTTTGGGTCCGCCTTCAGTCCTTTGGCCCTTGGATGCAAGAAGTTCTTGGTTGCCCCTTCTTCCACGTTGGCCCTTGCGAAACACCCTGTTCACCTGGCCCCTGAGTGAAAATTTGTTTTTGATTACTTAAAACATGTTTTTTGTTTGCTATTTTGTTTGTTTGTTAAAGAACGTTTTATTTTTCACCATACCCTTGTGATTGGACCAATCAATTTGTTTAGACTTTTTTGCCTTTGAACACTTGTGCTTTGGCTCAACGTGTTTCTCTTCATTGCATCACCAGCATCGCTGGTGTTTCTTTGATTGCATCACCAGCTTCGCTGATGTTGCTGGAAAAATGGTTCCAGAGATAGGAACACTACAATGCTTTATTCGTCATTATTTTCCTCCTTCCGACATGCAACATGTGCGAGTTGTTCATGTTTTTGAGTTCATGCTTGAAGTTTCATTTTTTTTCGTTTTGGTCAGTGTTTGTTGTGCCGTGTTGTCGTTTTGCTTGAGTTGTGCGTGTGGATTGGCATGAATTTGCCCAGTGTTGGCGTGCGACATGTTGTGCTTGCGCAGTTGCGCGTGTTGTTCATTGCCCTGAATTCTCGTTGCTTGCATTTTCGCAGCGTTGGCGTGTAATTGTGTTGCGCTTGCTGTCTTGGGTTGGCCCCAGATATGAGAACGCATCTTCTGGGCCCATCCTCGGCACCATTGCGGAGTTATCGAGGATTTAACCTCACGGATGAACTCGTTTCACAAGCGCAACCTGGATGAAAAAAACACCACTTACGTTTGGATGTCGCGAGCTGAGGGAATATCAATGCTGGCCAGTGCATTGTGCTAATGACAAGCAGGCTATGCGCAAGGCGTTCGTCCTTTTCTCCAGAGTGTTCTTCAATCATAGAGGCGATGTTGCGATGCACGAGGCATAGGGTATATGAGGCAACTTGGATCAAGTCAGGAATGAAGTGTCCCAATACAACGAGCACCCCTGACGTTTGGGGGAGTTCCCGGCCCCAACGATTTTAAAACTTCTCAGATCTGGAGTTGACTCTAAACCACCACAAAGGCCAACGTTCTGGGGATGCATGGGGTTCTGAGGAGGGTTGTGAGGAGGGTTCCGTGTCTGGGGATGCACCAAATCTAAAATGCGAGGCAAAACTACGTATAAACAGAAATGTATATATAAATTATAGATAAACCATATATAATATAATGTATAATGTATATAGTATGCATACTAAATTATTTCCAAATTCATACGATATTTCATGCCTATAGTATTTAGAAGTATAATACACACATACACGTATATATATATATATATAAATAAATAAATAAACAAATAAAACATATATGAATAAATAAATACATTTTTTGGATACATGAACCGAACAAGTAAGCTCAGGTGATATCCCTAACAACATGGCACACTTGCGCGCACTCTTCGGAACTTGCCCTATGCATCCCCAAAACTCGCAACCTGCCCACGCAGCCCTGGAACCCGATGATGATATATGCTTGTTTGCCTGGTTTGTCATGCAACAAATACTGAAAGTAATCATCATAGCACGACAGGCGCATTCGAGTTTCGTTTCACACGCGGTTCACGGCAGCAAGGGACTGCATCACAGCATGACGCGTTGCCAATTCAGGAGCTTTCGGCTCAGCTCCCGCCCATCCACAAAAACAGTGAGTGGTCAATTGAAGATGGCATCCAGGCCCAGACGCACGGGGTATTTGTGTTCGCAGCCGGTTGAAATCAACACGGTTCATTATATATTTCATGTGAATCAAAGGTCAGACGACGCGAACATGCTTGTTGAGGTTTTGTTAGCTTTCGACCAATAGTAAAATCATTCAGCCGTTTCTTATTTTCTTGATGCGATTCAGCAAAACTTCATGAAACCATATGTATGGCATGCGGTGGTGTCTAGAGTTGCGACTGAGTGCATTGGAAGTTGACCTTGGGGCAGGTCCACCTCCACTATGGCATTGGGCGCCGCTGCTGCGGCCTACCTTGGCTCCTCGGCAGTGCAGGTGCGGCGCCCCGGTATTCATCATGTTTCTGTCAGGGTGTTGATTCTTTGCGGCACACATGTTTAGGGGATGTTGGCAGCAGGTCAGGTTTCTGGTCGTGCATCTTGCCAAAACGTTTGACGTGTTGGTGGTTTCGATGTTTGACTTGAGCCAGGCCTTCTTGGCGCCCTCGGCGCCTTCGCCTGCGCTGCGCGGTGCCCCCGGCACCTCCGGCACCTCGGCGTCGGCATCGTCGTCCGGGTTCAGCGCCACAAGCTTCGGAGCCACCGCGGTGGCCACAGCCGCGCTGGCCTTGGCACGGCGGGGGCGGGGCCTGGTCCCGCGCGCGGCAGAGGCGCGCGTTCTGCCAGGGCGTGGGGTGACACGCAAGTTTGGGAGACTTTTGGCTGGAGCTTGGCGAACAGCATTTTATGGGTACAGGCGGAGCCCTTTGCTGGCGGCCTCATTGGGGGCGAGTCCGCCTTTGCGGGCCAGGCAGGGTAGCGCAGCATATTAGTGACTTGGAGTTTGTAACAGCACCAAGAGAAACACACTTGTGGAGATGACTCTGCTTGGCTGAATCTCTTCGAGCCTGAGTCAGTGTTTGCAGCTTCTCCTGTCTGAACGGCGAGGACTTCAACTTTGACCCGTTGGGCCTCGCGACGAAGTGCGAGAAGTTCCTGCCCTGGTTCCGTGAGGTCTGAAGCCCAGTATTTGAGTTTGCCATATCAATAGTTTTGGTTTAACCCTCTGGGGTAGCCCAGTGAAAGCACAGTGATTCCGTGTTGGCTACAGTGAGCCAGCTCGAACCATGACGAACATTGGGGGGATTGGCTGGCTTCCATCCATCCCAGTGATTTGGAAGGGGCTCTGATCTCTTGTACGAAAATGGAGGGCTTGCATGCTTTGATCTCTCGTGCTAAGGCTGAGCTGAAGCATGGCCGCATCGCCATGCTCGCCTGGGTTGGACTCGTGGCACCAGAGTTTGTGCGCATCCCTGGCTGGGCGCTTGGGGAGTGCGAGGGTCGCTTGCAAGCTTTTGTTCTTGGCAAAGGCAGTCAGGTGAAATGGCGTGGCACCTTTCTTGTAAAAGAAAGATCAAATTGGCAATCGAAAGGAACCACTATCGGAGTTCCCTATTCTTGCAAACAAGCATCAAGACTGAGCGACTCAGCCAATGATGGGTCCGCGGCTCGTCCAGGCCCGGAGCAGTGCTATGGTGCCAAGACTGTGGTGGAGGCCCACAACGCCTGCGCTGGAGACCCATATTTCCCCTTCATCCTGGATGCAACAGATGCCTGGCTGCACCCAAGTTGGGAAGACTCCAGCTTGTCAGAATCCCCTGTGATTACTTCGAAGGAACAGCCCTTCCGCACGCTGCTTTTCGTGCCCTTGCCCATGACAGTGATGAGTTTCATTCATTCGAAGCCATCAGGACTTCTACGGAAAGGACGGCCATCAGGTGGGCCCCCTCTTCCAGGCTGCGCGGGTGGACATGTCAGAAAACTTGGGCGATAAGAACAAGGCGTCGTTGCTTTGGTCCATTAAAGATTGAGTGGACTAACAGAATACATCCCCGCTTGTGGTTATTCCAAGGAGGTTGCGAGCTTCGGCACTGATCACCACAGGTCTTCGCCTTCTGTGGGCTCATTGAGATGCTCACGACCTTTGCCAAGACTGCCAACGTCTCCAACAAGCCGGGCCTGACTCTGGCAAACGCAGGCGGGCCTACTAATCTCTCAAGCGAAGATTTGCCGTAGATCCCCGAGCCGTCCAATTATACACCAGGCTTAGTTTCGTTCTAAGCAAGGCCAATTTTCAAGACTTTTTAAGCATGCTGAAGCCACAGCAAGTCTAGGGAAAAACCCTGGTGTCAGCGCAGGCGATTACCGTCTGGGGGCCAACTTCCTGCCACAGGACGAAGCCAAGGTCAAGGCGCAGGGTGGGGAGGTAGAGATTGCCTTTAAACGACAGCGGCAAATTGAGGCATTAGGGGGTGCTGGATAAGGATGTGTGAATAGGACCCAGGCATGTCCTGTCAGGGTCGTAACTATATTACAATTAAAATAGAACATCAATACGGAACGAGTCATCAACAAGCCTGACAATTGCACATTGTCGAGCACATCACTGTCTCCTCCTGCCATCCCTTGGCCTGGGACGCCGGCAGTGGCAAGAATGCGTCCTTTGGCCAGGAAATGAAGCTGAAAGAGCTGAAGAACGGCCGCCTGGCCATGCTGGCGTTCGGCGGTGCCATCACTCAGGCCGAGAGTGTTGCTTTGTGGGTGCGGTGAATTTCGACGTGTGGAACATGTCTTTCGATTTGCACAGCGTTGCATGCACACTCAAGTGCCGGGTGATAACCCAGGTCAAGTTTGAAGCATTTTGAAGCGAAAGTTATGCCAGCCAATCATGGAAAGTAGTTCTTAGCAGCGCGCTACAGGCCACCCTCACTGGAAACGGCTTCCCGTGGCTGTATGCGGAGAAGGTGCGGATCCGGAAAGGCATTAAAGATAGGGAGGCAGCTGATGCTAATCAGCTGGAGTGTGTACGCGGAAGGGAGAAGCAATTTTTCCATGGCTTCTTCTCTTGAAGAGAATTCTGACACTGTAAACCTCCCTACCTCGCGTGGGCAAACAAAGCTCGAGGAGACCAGCCGTGGCTTCGGCGCGTCCATGAAGCGCAGCACGCTGGCAGGGCGCAGCAGGATTGCCAGGCAGGCGGCCTAGTACAAGGTGATCCTTCAGATGGGACCCGATTGAAATGCGCAGTGCACATCAATTGCAGTGGGTGATTTTGGGCAGCACATAGTCTGGGGCTGTGTTGGGCTTGTAGCATCTCCAGGCAGGCGGAGAGCGGCTACAAGATGAGCGCGGCTGTGCCCTTCCTGCCGATGTCACCAGCCCTTGAGGGCATGCCAGGCCTGGACGTGGCAGTGGCCACTGTGAAGCCTTGGGCGGAGGGGTCTCGGAGTGGCTTCCTCTTCGATGTTGTCTGACGGACGGTTGGATGCCTTCAGGGAACAAGGAGCCAACACTATTCTTGAGTGCTGACGAGCCCTGGGTGCAGCATGGTGCTGGCATGAGCTCTGCTTTTCTCAGGCGAGGAGGAGGGCTTCGACCCCATGGGCTTCTCCCTGGCCATCGACATCAAGTGGCTTCGCGAGGCTCACGGGGCTGCGGAGGTGCCATGTGATCTTTGCGTTAAGGTCCACCAAGAGTATCATTGCTTTCGCGACCCACAATATTTCGACCCTTGAGAAAATCAACATGTCAACAGGGCCACAGTTGCTGCTGAGACGATCCTCGAACCACTCTTTTGCTTGTTGTTCGACTCAATTGAGGCGGAGCTCAAGCACGGCCGAGTGGCCATGCTTGCCACGGTGGGCTGGATCGCCACCGACATGGGCCAGGGTCTCAGTGCTCAGTGCGGTGCGCGCCAGGTGTGCAGGGAAACGAGGGAGCAAGAGAGTTTTGCAGGCCGCAAGTATTCCTCTTTGCAGCTCTACAGTCTTTAAAGGGCTCCTTCAAAGGGTTCCCCACATGCTTCTGAACGTCAAATGAACATCCGGGCGGGGTGCAGAGAGAAATCCACCTGCACCCAGGCATGCGGGTGCCCGGGGAGGCCTTCCAGATCTCCACCGTTGAGGCTCATGACGCCATGGTGAAGTTCGGGTCCATGCCCCAGTGCCTTGGCCAGAACTCATGGGCAGAGACGTTCTTCGAATTGAGGATCTTTTGTTTTTGGTGAGAGGGCTTGGTCCGCCCAGATGTTTGAATCATGATGCCTCCTCGGAAGAATCCCTTGACACCACTTAGAGGACCCTCGCCGCGCGAAGGATGCTGGTTTGGATGGGCTACGCAGAGCTCTTTGGCTTCCTGGCCATTGTGAACATGTTCGAGGGCAAGACGGCCGCTTGGGTGCACCAAGGCAGGCGAAGTGGCTTTGGAATGTGGGGTTGTTGTGGACAGCTGCTGGATGGTTTTTGCTTGTGTTGGAGCCCTATTTCAGACAGACGACATTCAGTTGGCCACACGGTTTGGGCGGCCGCGAGCCAGCCAAGGACCGCAAGCCGGGCGACTTTGGGCTGCGGGGCTTCTACCCCCAGGATGCAAAGGGCCAGTATGACATGCAGGCGAGACTTGGGATGGAGTGTGATGAGGGGGATGAGACTGCATCCAAGTAAAGGATGGATCTTATGGAAGACACCGCGGGGGCTTGGTCAAGGGATAGCCCGAGGCCTGAGGCTGAAGGTCTTAAAGCAGTGAGAGCTGAAGTTAGTTTCAGCACATCCGCAACTGGACACTGAGCCCTATATTATGACAATCCCAGATGTTGCCAGGGTTTGCAGGCGGTTGCTAGAACCATGTTGAATCCAAATGGTATTCAGTTTGCTGCACTGCAGGTGAAGGAGCTGAGGAACGGCCGACTGGCAATGTTGGCTTACGGAGGTGCGTGTTGCATGCCATAGCTCAAAGACAGCTTGCAGATGCTCTGATGTTTGAAACATGACTCATGTGCCCTTCTGACCAATTTGTTTATGTCAACAGGCATCGTCACCACGGCAGTGCTGACGCAGGAGATTCGCAGCGTGCACTTATGCAGAAGCGGGAGGGAGGAGGAACGCATGATGTTGGGAGATTGCAGACAATTCCAGGAGAAGTGGCCTTTCTTTGACGCAGTGGTCAACGCAGTGCCAGACAGCAAGCAGGCGAAGCGCTTTGGGACGTGCAGTCGTGTCAAAGCGTTTTTTCTCCACTTCCGGGCATACTCGTATCGATTCCGAATTCCCTTTCACCTCAGTTGCAGTCGACAGCACTCAAGCACCTAAGCCGCTTGTGAAACAACCGACATGGCGTCTCTTGCCCGCATCCAGCTCTGTCCATTGGATTCTGTGACTGCCAAGCTGCTGCCACGTTCTTGTGCAGGTCCGTGCTCCTGCCACCTTCTGCGGCGGCGCTGCGCCGCGCAGCGTCTCCCGCACGGCGGGGAACAGGGATGGGGATTCACGTAGTGCCAGTAGGCTTCTGAGGGACAAACGGGCAAAGCTTCGAGAATGAAGATTGTTTGTGATAGTGAAACAGCTTTCAGAGGTGCTGTATTTATTGCTCGAGTTCTGTTCCAACGCGCGCTACCTTGGACTTCCAGGCATGCCACGCTTCTAGCAGCAAGAGCCTGCCCTTTCTGCACGAGAGCCCAGACTGAGCTTGCGAGTGCCATTCGTGCCGTGGATGGCAGGGCTTGCTATGTACTGTGCACGACTTCTTCCCAAGAGATTCAGTTAGTTGCCAGACGCCCTGCACACCACAGAATTTCAAATCCAATTGGACCGTCCATTGATGCCTCAGACCAAGGCCAAAGCCGCAGAACCTGGGGGGCCTGGCGGGCGGTGATGCGGAGTTCGACCCCCTGGGCTTCTCCGACACCTTTGACGTGCCCTGGGCGGCACATTGCGCGAAGCCCACGCGCCCTTCATAATGATCAGTTGTTCTGGTGGTTGCCCTTTTTGTGTCGGGTGGGCTTGGTGCTCAGGTGAAGTGGCTGCGTGAGTCAGAGCTGAAGCACGGCCGTGTGTGCATGCTGGCGACTGTTGGTTTTGTGGCAGAGCAGTACATCCAGTTCCCAGGCGCCAAGTTCTGTGCCTGAAGTCAACTGGCGTCAAAACGAGTTGAAGTCCTCCAAATGGGTGCTTCAACTTTCATTTCCTTTGAACATGCACCAAACAGGGGCTCTCACACCCATCCTGCCTTTTTCAATGTATCCTCGTTGCAAGATTTGTCGCAGGCTTCACCCCTGCAGAGGATGCTTTGCAGGCCTGGCCTGACGGGCGTGCGATTCAGACATAGCTTTCAAGAGCCAGACGGCTGGATTGCTTTAGTGACCATGAGATGCAGGGACCAGGTGCTTGTTGGAAGGCTTTCAGAGCAAGCAAACCAATCGAGGCAGCATGGTGGGTATCAACCATTCTGTGCTTGAGCACTCATATAGTTGAAATGTTTATACTTGTAAGGGGCAGGCTTGTGCGCGAAATAATTCTGTGGCATGATGTGGAATGCCTGGACCCAGCAACTAGGAATCAAGCGGTGCCCTTTGTTTGCGAAGGCATGATGGATGGGTAGCAAGCAGAAGTAGAGGCAAGACGACCAGCAAGTCTCTTTGCCTCCTCCTGCCACATTGGCTTCAGATTAGGCCATCTACACTGCCCCCCCGAACATCACGGCGCTGCTGCTGTTCGCATGTGGGTACATCGAGAGCTCTGCCTATGATGGCAAGTGCCTTGTCAGTATGGCGACACCATGCAACACCTGCAATAAAGTTGCTAGCTGTTGCAGCTGGAAGGAGGTGATGATTTCGTGGCACTGCTTGACAAATTTTGCATTTGAAGCTTGCTGCAAACTCCTGACCAGTCGAGGAGTGAGTTCGTGCGTTAACTGTCGCAGCATCCTGAGCCGCGTGCTTTCGCCACTCCAGGCTCACCATGCTTGACATGTTCGACGGCGAGGGCGCCAAGCGGGCGCCAGGCGATCTGCAACTTGGCTGGCATGAACCTTCCAGGGCTGCAAAGCAGAAAAGCCAGACAGGGGATACATGCTATGCGGAGTGGAAAGGTGCGGAGGCTGAAGGCCGGCAGTGGGTGTTCCTTTCTATTGTATGCTTGTGTGGGCCCAGGAACTTCGGCAAGCGCTTCCTGCCTGGTGACAAGGCAGCGGCGGATGATCTGGCAACAAAGGACGCGTGTGGCAGATGGCAAGCAAGTGAGTACTGTGCTGCCAGACAACTTCTTGATACCGAACAGCTGCAGTTCGATGGCAACACAGCGCCATCGCAGGAGCTTTCCAACGGCCGCCTTGCCATGCTGGCATTTGCAGGCGCGGCAGCCGCATTGTGGCACTGGATTGCACAGGGTCCTACCATTGAAGTGCCAAGGCTCTACCCTACCAGGACTTGCAAGCTTTCTTTGAGGAATGCGAGTGAAGCACTGAGCCTTGAGCCTTCGCAGGCATGGTGCACCACAACCTCGTGGTGAAGGGCCCGCTCTTCCCCCTCTTCCCGGAGGGCTGGGCGGGACCCCAGGCAGGTCAAGAGGTTTGGCCAGTCGTACAATGTCATGTTGGAAGACCCGATGACGAACAGGTGAGCCTTCAAAAACAGAAAATCCCCCCCAGCTTGACAATGAACTTGGCACATAGACAGTGGCTCAGATCAGCACGAGCAATTGTAGCTGTAATTGGATTATGTGTCCTTAGGTTCTTGTTGCGTTTTTTGCCACTGCTGCCGTTGCTGCCAACATTTAACCCCCTGCTTTGGGATATTTTAGAACGAAACTCAACGAGACAACCAGCCCGCGCGGGCCGTCCATATCTGAGATTGGAAACCAAGCCCGGATGCAGCCAGTACATTACCCGTGACACTGCTCACCGGCAAGCAAGGCTGGTACCACCCTGGAAGTCAGCCAATGGAGCCGGTTCATTGGTATGTTGAGATGGGGTACACAATTCACAAGCCACTGCTGAAAGTCTGGCATTCGTCCGAGCATGGAAGGCTGTTCAACATTTACAATGGGTGCTTGTGACCGGGCAGACCGATGGAGAGTTCTCGTGAGACGAGTACGGGGTAGGCGGAAGTCATTCGAGGGCTGGCAGGCAGTTGGACCAAGGACAACAGGCAAAGCGAAGGCTTTGCAACACACAGCAGGAATGTCCCGCTCTTGCTGTCCCGGCAATGGACATTGAACTGCTTGGCAGGGCTCTTGGGACCTCGACAGCACGGCTGGAGCCCTGCAGCTTGGAAGCAGAGAATCAGAGTGATCATGCGCATGGCTTCATGGATGAAGCATAGTTAGAGGGACTCCCGCTGAACATGATATCACCCCCTTGGTTGTCGCCAGTATCCTTACTTTTCATCGTTGTTTTTTGCCTTCCCGGCAGTTGAGCAACGTGTCCCAGGAACAGCGGCAGCCTTGGCCTTTGAGAAGGGATGAGAAGGTGTGGAACGGGGATGCGAAAGGATGATGCACCGGGGATACAATCAAGCGGGGCATTTCCGCGGTTGAGCAGAGACGACGGCGACAAACATGTGTCACACACCAGAGTGAGTTTCCTCCCAACAAGGGGGAAGGGAGAGAACGCGCAGAATGCACATGCTCACAGCCATGTCATCATGTAGCAGCTCCGAGAAGGAAGTTTCAGTTTGACCCATGCGTTTCATGCCAGTGTCAGCTGCAGTTTCTTTGGCCTCCTTCTTGGAACAGTCGTCGCCAAATAGTTAGCTAAAGAGAGATGGTATGAGCAACACAAATCCTGGACTTGTTCTGCACTGGAAACCCAAGACAAATTGCATGCAATGCTAGGAATGGACAACCACTGCAACAGCATTGCCCGCTGATGCCGGTCAAGTCTGATCCACTGCATTGAGCAACACTGCCACCATTTGAGAAGCTGCCCGCTGGCACCCGAAAGCGTGATAACCCTCCGGTTGTTTCAAGCCGATCCAGACGCAATCTTTCAACCCAACCAACCTCAATGTCTGACAGGGCCAGTGTTTTCATTCTTTGAGCTCAAAGGTTGGTTCCTTGTTTTTGAGGCTCCACCCCATTCCTGTTGGTGCATGCAACTGCATGTTTTTGCAAGCTTCACTATACACATGTTGGCAATACCGAGCACACTATCTTAAAATGAAGCTGCACCACACACACACACACACGTCCAGCAAACACAGCGAGCCAGGTTTGTTGTGTGCTACTGCTGCCAGCAAGCAGTTGCCAGTAGCACTGTCAGCCTTTCGAAGGTCCTGAACAGGACTTGAACAGGTTGCCCGGTTGACAGCTTGGCACATTCTCCGGGCAAGTTCAGTGACAGCACCTCCCGCGATCGAACGAACCGGTCTTGGAGCCTTTCGAAAGGCGAAGATTCTGAACCCGCTCGTCGTCTTTTTGAGCAACGCGTCGGTTCAAGGCTCGGGCGAGCCTCACGGCCTCGGTTCGATTGTTCAATCACCCCAGGTAGCCGCTTGCTCTTATGGGCTTTGTGTTCCACAAGATGCCACACATGGACATGGTGCTCCCACAGATTGTAATTTGGCTTAAGGTTCAAGCGAGGGATTTGCTTGCCTTTTGTCCTTGTGTGCGTGGTGTCAGAGGGCGGGGGTCTTACTCTCGGCCAGGCCAGACGCTGGACCAAGCGTGCGGGTAAAAAGAAAGGGCTGCGCGGTGTGGGTTTGCTGAATTTCCCGACTGTTTGACATAGCCCCAAGCAGGGGCCTAGTTGCTCTTGCTCACCTTTTTGATGCTTGAAACGGCAAGGGATTGTGCACACTGAAGACGCTCAAAACTCAAAACGTTTGAGAAGGTGTGGCGTCCCCCGTGCTGCAAACGACTCGCTGCCGTTTGGGTTTTAGGCTCCGACTCGCCTGCCTATGGGTCGACTGAGGGCTTCGGGCCCCGGAGGCGCGTTTGTTTGGAGAGCAGTTTCCCAAAGCGCAGCCTTGCCTTGGGTGCTTCAGCGAGCCTGCAGGCCTCTGCTTTTGTGCTAGGCAGATTTTAAATGAGCACTGCTGAAATGCATTTATTTCCGCGATTCGAAGGGTTTTTGTTTGCCAATCCAATGACCCGCCGTTCGGTTCGTTGAGCTGGTTGTCTGCACGCCAACAGGGCGCCATGGCGAAGATCGCGCCATATTCGGAGGACTTGTCGACGCTGTTCTCACGGAACGGCAAATGAGGGCGTTCGAGTTCTGGTTGGTTTTGGGCCAGACACACCTGGCCCCTCACATATAAATTTGGAAACGGACATCGTCAGTGTGCACCTAGGCTCACGAAACATGGCGCGCCTTGCCCGGCAGAACTCAACAGTTTGCAAAACTGCAAGGATTCGCCGCCGGTGCCGGCCCCTGTGACCAAGAAGGCAAACACTCGGCGGATGCGCCTCGGCCGAGATTTCGGAACGGAAGGGCTGGGGCGAGGCAAGATGCTCCCGGAAGGCTTCGACTTCTGTGCGTGTGGCGATGTTGTTGGCAAAGAGAGGGACTCGAGCGCAGAGCAACAAGTGAAAGGCTTGTTTTATTTTGTGCGGCCCAGTTTGCTTGTTTGCCTGGACATGCAGAATAATCCATCAAGAATGCGTTGGCACCTCAACACGGGTATCCGGCCAAACTTGGTATCCCTTCGCTCATTCAAAGGGAAGCCAAGATGCAAAGGGCCCCCAGCGACACATTGCAGGAAAGGCAATCAGCAGGATCTAGCTTTCCTTTCAGGCAGTGAGCCATAAGGAGAAACAGCGTGCGAGAGTTTGTGGTTGGGGGAGCAGCGTCCACGATGCTCCCAACAGTCAAACAAGGGCATGTCAATATGAGGGACCCGCCTTGGTTGGTTGGTTGGTTTGGTTGGTGGGTGGGCGGGTGGGTTGGTTGGTTGGTTGGTTGGTGGGTAGGTGGGTAGGTGGGTAGGTGGGTAGGTGGGTTGGTGGGTTGGTTGGTTGGTATCAAGGTGAGGAATCAATTAGCAGAAACGAGAGGGCTGGGTCCGTATTTGGCACACTCAAGCATAGCCAAATTTGAGGCCCTCGACCAATTTTTGATTCCAGTTAGGATGTGAAGCAAAGTATGGAAGTGTCGTATGAAGGCTATTTTGCAGGATGGTTTTTCCATTTCGAGCTATTTTGCAGGTTCTCAGGTTTCTTGCAACTGGGTACAACTTGTTTCCCGGTTCCCCGTTTTGAGAAGCACGAAGCCAAACGACGTCCGCCCGCTTTCGCGTCGCTGAGATCCATGGCCCCACCCACAATGCAAGATCCAGAGGGCAGGCGGGGGTTGGGGATCACTTCACGAAAAGCGGAGCCAGTGATCTGCACACGCAGGGGTGGGTGTCGCCTTTTACTTTACCTACATAGAACGTCATGGGGACTGCTCTGGCTCTCTTCAGACTTCAAGTGTCAAGCCGCTGCTCACTTTGGAGAATCATGTCCACGATGTGTTTTGCAACTTGACCTGCAGCCGAATTCTGACGGAAGCCTAGAAGCGCAGTCACTTGAAGCTGTCACACCTCCTGTAGCTGCTGCGCAGTGTCAAATTTGAAGGTCTGTCATACGAGTTGTCCGTGGCAACATCAGCTGCTGCCTCAGCCAGAAGGTTTGAGACTTTGTTTTGTGTTACAAGAGGCAGGAGAAGCACCTAGGCAAGCCAAGAGCCCTTTGGGAGGTTCTCCATTCCCTTTCAAGGGATTTCCTTGAGTTCTTCAGGTCGTAGGTATGGCTTGTCACCCGGGTCACCCGGGTGATCACCCGAGACTTGGCTTTTTGCTTGGCTTGGACCTTGGGAAGCCACTCGATCCCGCGACCTAGTCTCCAAATGCGGCTGCTACGAGTCCCCCGCGGCAGGGAGCCCCAGAGGCCAAGGAACTCAAAAGTTGCGCCACGAGGGAGGATTGGACAAGTGCTGAAACGACCAGTTGCCATGGCCCCCTTCTCAACCCAGGCCCAACCCTGCGGGGGAATGCGGGCAAATGCAGCAAACTTGTCTGGACAAGCCGCGGTTTGATACGAACATATGAGGCAACTGACAAAATTACTGTAGTCTGTTCTTAGCACTGCATCCCAAGACCTTCCAGTGGCAACCGACTGGGGAGAACATGTAGGTGTCTGCTTGGTTCAACAGAAGGTGAGATTACATAGCCTTTAAGTGCTTTTCGCAAGGGCCGTGACCGTACAGGGAGACTTTTGTGAAGCTGTGCCCTGGGTCAGCGAAGATGACACGCCGGGGCAGGGCGCAGCGTAGCGGAAGTTTTCTGCGGTGGAGCATGCCTTTGGTGTCGCTGCCCCTTAGTTGGGAAGACTGTGCAGCGAGGGGTGCCGTCGACATGGACCGGACGTAGTGAAAGCAAATGTTGCAAATTATCCTATTCCCGCGTTCAAGGAAACCATTCGCACCCGGAGTTCACTTGCAGCATGTAAAAACGAAAGTGGACAGTACTGATGCCAACAGAAAGGCTGGAAAAGTGGTGCTTAGTCGCGGTGAAGCTTAGTGCGAGTGGTGCTTTACAGAGACTGCAGTGGCAAGTGGCTATGTAATTGCAGCTCAATGGTGGCTGTTTGTCCAACAAGATGTCACGCAAGTGGCGTATGCGTGCTGTGCGTCAGTACTCAGCTACCTGCAGTATGTGGAGGCAATTAACTGCCACTGGCCGCGTGGTGATTTTTGTGGTTGTTTGCAGCGGCATTCAGCGCAGGTTCTGCAAGGTGCCTCGGCGGTGCATGTTTTGTGGCCTTCAGGATCAGTGGTGTAGTCACACAAAACATCCTGCTTGTGATGTGTGATTGCGCAGTGCAGCGCAGACGGCAAGGCGAAGCCAAAGAGGCAGGAACATAAGTGAGGTTAGTAACCCTGCTCCAAAGTCATGCAGGGGCTCGCCAAACCATCACATGCAAACTGCTTAGATTCGTGATTCCATTTGTGTTTCCATTTGCCTACTGGCCCGCCGTAAAGTTGGTAAGGGATTAGGCCCGGCGGGGCGACGTCGAGTATGGCCAAAAGCCCAATGCTTTGTCCGGCTAGAAACCAGTCGCTTGAAGCAACAAAAACAATGTTCTCTGGCTCGTATGAATCTTCGAACAGGACAGATGAATTTGCAGGTGTTTCTGGCTGGAAGCCCTGGGCCTTGCCAGTGCGCTTTCGCTAAGGGACAAGCAGTACGAAAATTCCTGCGTGGTAGGCGCGGGCATGTCGGAATGGGCCATGTACGGATCTTGCTGAGGGCGAATTACGCTTTGGACCGTCTTCGCCCATTATGGATCTTGTTGCCTGTGGGGCTCCGCACCGCCGCCCCAAGAAATGACAGCAATATGTCCAGGGCGTTTCTGGCGGCATGACTCGCGCGTGAAGCTGCGCAGGTCATTCAGCATAGTCACTATGGTTGCTTTGCCAGGGCCCCAGATGTTTGCTTTTGGCAACAGCGCAGTTGCCGGCCCCGTGGCTCGAGCCTTGAGCTTCGTGGGCCGCACCGAGCCCAGGTTCTTAGCCCTGTTCCTTGGCGAGATCTTCGTGGTGTGCCAGGTGAGAGCGTGTTGTGTTGGGCCTAGAAAAAGGGGCGGCCGCACACTTAACAGGGGCCCCCCCAGTTTCCTCTCGGATCGGGTGGCTGGGCGGCTCGCGAGTGGCAGGTCCCCTCGAATACCGAGCAAGATGTGGCGGGGACCTCAGTCAAGATGCGGTCACGGCAGCCCCTAACAGTTTCACCGAGAATCCAACTGACCTGTCAAGACTGCTATGACAAGGGGTCAGAAGCATGTTTCCTTTCGCCCTGCTATGGCTGAGTGTGACACGTGGCTTTGTTCGGGGGTAGTGGTACGAGTGAGAGCTTCTTTCTAGCATGGGCTGCCAGATGACCCCACAAGAGCACGGTTTGATGCATGAACGCGAGGTTCTCACGATCGTCTTCGCGTTATTTATCTTTGAGTGGGTGGGGCTGACGGCTGCGGCCTCGGTCGCTTTGCGAAACACGTGATGACGTGGTGAAGGACCTTGGATTGGCCAGCCAGCTTCAAGTGACAGGCTTTTGCAAGTGCAGTTGAATAATGTAGCAAGGGAGACGAGCTCTAGGCCCCACTTTCCAGGGGGTTGCATACTAAAACCTGCGAGTTGACGGACCCCACCTACCTCTTCGGCTTCTTCTTCTGGATGGACCTGCTTGGGACAGTATCCATGATGCTGGACAGCCAGACCGGCATGTGTTGGACGTGGGGCGGCTACGGATAGCTGGCGCAAACCGAAATGACGCTCAGCCTCTTCGTGTGGGAGCAAGTCTCTAGCAGAAAAATCACGGTTTGCTGGAAACTAAGCTCCTTCTCAAGCATCCCGAAACAGATGTTTGGTGCTAGCCGTAACCAGCTCGTTTTGCCCGCCAGTTACGTATATGTTTGGCCCGGATGTCATGGAGATTGAAGAGGCTGGCCAAGCTTTGCGAGTCGGGTTGGGATTCCTGGTTGGATTGCCTGGCCAGATGTCAAGTGAGTCTGTATCCTGCCGCACTGTTGGCTTGCGCAACGACCTGCATCGTTTCAAGACATCTTGGCCCTCACAGGTCACCGAAGGTGCGAATCAGGACAATGCCTGGTGGCCTAGAGAAACTCGCTGTGCATCTAAGGCTCAAAGAGACCATTGGCACTTGGTGTCCCAATCCAGGAATCAAGGCACGTGGCA